CAGAGAGGGTTTCCCAAAATATCCAGTGATTTTAAGCCAATGGGTCCTGACACAGAAAGAAGGAGCAGGTCATTCTGGGTCATCTCTTTGGCCACTCTTCCTTTTGCAGGCAGTCCTCCAGAATAAGGTTGCTCTGAGTGACATTTTGTCTTTCTCCTTACCCAAAATTCACACTCCCCAGGACACCAGCACACGACTGAGACCTGTCTTTTATCTGGAGGACTTGCATCCTTAAACCCACATGAGGCTATAGAAACGGCAACGAAATAGAAATAACGGGGTGAGCATTTGATGTGGGTTGGGCCATCTCGCCTGATGCTACGCAGACCCTGGGGCGATGACTTGTTAAAGTCTAGAAATGGAAACCAGCGGCAGTTTAAGGAAGAGCTCACACTGAAGTATTTTTAGACTTGTTAGAAAATAGACATGAATATATTAAACTTAGAGATGATTTTCTGTTTCCAATGAGATTTTTAAATGAAAATATTCAAGTGGCTGGTTGATTAATAATTTGTTTATAAATTACATATAATCATTATTGCAATATCGCTTCACAAACTACATGCATGATCTAAGAATTTATATATGCCTCATGTGACACCAACCAACTAAAAAATCGTATATAAATTTAATTTCTTATATCTGGTTGAATTCTTCCTGTGCAAGTGAGAAAATTTGCAGAGTAAGGAATGACTGAGTAGGCCTTTCCAGTGATGTTGTGGCTTGCAAGTGAAGAAAACATGATGGCCTCTGCAGAAACAGGCCTGAAAAGAAAAAAATAAGACTGCCCTATAGAATTAGATTACAAACCATAAACGAGAGTGACACTGTGATCTTCAGAATTTTTTTGTCAGAGTATGCTCCTGTGAGTGGGAAAAGGAAGGTTCTTTCTCCTGCCAGGCTGTGCCCTGCAGGCCTCTCCAGAGCAGTATTGTCTTAGAGAATAGGCCGTGAGGAGCCCTGGCAATTTAAAGGATGTGGGGGAGGGGGAAATCACATGCTTAGATTTTTCACTAAAGCAGCCTGTTGCCAATAAAGCAGTGGAGAAACAAGGAATTTCATTCATGATTGGTGAGAGTGACTATCAGCTGGTTTTTTAAAAATTAAACCCAGAAATAGCATATCATCAGAAATTCCACTTCTAGCATGTACACAAAAGAAGTGAAAGCAGGTACTCGAATGGATATTTGTTCACCCAAGTTCACAGCAGCATTATTCACAATAGCCAAAAGGTGGAAAGAACCCAAGTACCTATGGATAGATGAGTGGATAAACAAATATAGTATACACATGCAATGGATTATTATTCAGCCTTAAAAGAAAGGAAAATTTGACACAAGCTACAACATGAATGAACCTTGTAGGCATTATGCTAAGTGAAATAAGCCAGTCACAAAAGGACAAATATTGTATGATTCGTTTTATATGAGATACCTAGAGCAGTAAAATTCAAAGAGACAGAAAGTGGAATGACAGGGGCTGGGGGAAGGAAAGAATGGGAAGTAATTGTTTACTGAGTCCAGAGTTTCAGTTGGGGAAGATATAAAAGTTTTGGAGGTGGACTGCGGTGATGGTTACCCAAGAATGTGAATATGTTTAAAGCTGCAGAACTGTACACTTAAAAATGGTGAAAGTGGTAAATTTCGTTATATATATTTTACATAACTTTTTAAAATTCATTTTGTTCGATGAACAAGAGCGTAACCACTAAAAGCCCAAACAAAATATTACACACAGGAGATTTTCACTGTATTATTTATGTTTCAGAGATGGGTCGATAAGGGAATAAACGTTTAGAAATTGAAGGGGAGGGGGGGAAAAAAAGTGCACTTCGCCCAACGTGGGGCTCGAACCCACGACCCTGAGATTAAGAGTCTCATGCTCTACCGACTGAGCTAGCCGGGCGCGCCTGGCACGTTGTTCTCCATTTGCTACTAACAAGCATTAACTTCCTGGTGTGATTTGCCAGGGCTCTGTTCAAGGTCTGAAGTTCAGGTTACTCGGAGAATGATCTGGCCTTTAAAAGGCTCTAGGAAGCCTGGAAACTCTGCGGATCGTGCCTGATCGTCCCTTCCACTTCCGTCCGTTTTCTGTTGTCCTTGGCCAGCGACCTCGCCCTTTTGCATCCCCGGGAAGCGCACGGAGCGAAGGGAAAACGTGCGCATCCCAGTCATGCCTCTGGTGCGCTCCCCCTGTGATTTTTTAATTTGGAGTTAAAAGACAGAGTCAGGTGACAGGAGTGGGTGAGGGCCGCAGTCGACCCCTGCAACACACGCAATGCGATACGCACAAGATGTAATATAGAATTGTACACCTTAAAGCTATTTTATTTTATTAACCAATATAAAACCAATAAATAAATTTTTTTAAACTCTCACGATCTGGGGTTTTCCCAGAGCTGTGGGAATACGCTGTATTTCGCAACAAAGTAAAAACTCGCACGTACTTTGTGCGCTGGAGATGCCGGGGATCGAACCCGGGGCCTCATACATGCAAAGCATGCGCTCTACCACTGAGCTACATCCCCTGTCCACGAGACATGTGGTTTCTCTGCTTCCCTAGAAGTCTCTTGTCGCTGGGTGCCGCTAGGCTGATGGCCTTCGGAGGGTTCGACAGCCCAAAGGCTGGCCTTTCGAAGAGACAGCGTCGCCAGGATTGCCAGGGTTGCCAGGGTCTTCTACTAAATAACTACAGGGGCGAGGGTTCGATAGAAGGATGCCCGGGAGAGGAGAGGGCCGGTGTAAACACCTGGAGGCAGCCGTGGAAAAAGAAGGGGAAGTCATTTGACGCGGTGCCCCGAATGAACTGTGAGCCGAAAAGGGAAGTAAAGAAGGCAGTACACAGGATGCTACGTTTATAAAACAAAAAGAGGGAGAACTGTAGTAAAATATACAATGATTGTATAAAATAATTCATAATTTCTTGGGATGGAGAGGGGACTGGGGTTCAGGGTAGGCACTTTTCAGTATAAAACACTGTATATCTGATTTTCGAACCATGTCCAAATTAATTCCATCCAAGAGAAATTTGCGGATTGCCTGCTGGGTTCCGAGAGTTGCTCTAGAAAACGCGAGGCCCAGCGGCGCGCGGAGCCCCGAGGCCGCCCTCGGACCGCGCGCGGCGCGATAAAGCGGATGCCGGGGAGCTAGCGGAGCCGGCGCTGAGCGGGAGAGCGCGGTCCGCTGCGCCCGTGCGCAGATGCCGCTGAGAAAGGCGGTGTTTGAAACAAGACCTGAAGGAGGTGGGAAGCAAGACTTGCGCGCGGATGGGAGAAGAGAGGTCCAAGGCGAGAGGACAAAGCCAATTCAAAGGCCCTGAGGTGGGATCTCTCTGAGGTGTTGCAGGAACGTCGAGGAGGTGCGTGTGGCAGGAAGTCTGCAGGACAGAGCGGCAAGAGATAGGTGTAGAGAGGCGGCCTGGTGCAAGGGATGGGGATGCAGAACGGGATAGAGCGTTAGCCAACAGTGAAGACTGCCACTTTTCCTCTGATATGGGGGAGCCAGCCACTGGAGGGTTTGAGCAGAGGAGGGCCATGATTTGACTTAAAAATAACATTTTAACAGAACTGTTCTCACAGCTGGGTGGAGAAGATAGGGCAGGGCAGTGGGACAGAAGGGGAGAGATTGTTGCTCATGGGAGATCCCGCAATGGAGGGAGTGAGAGACCAAGGACCTGCTGAGGACTGGGGATGAGGTCTGTACAATTTTTGCCTCTTGGAGTCACAGACGACTCCCTGGTTTTGTCCTGAGCACCTGGAAGGATGAAATTGCTGCTAAAAGGGGTGGAGTGGGGAAGGCTGTGGGAAGAACACATGGTGGGGCAGATCAGAAGTAGAGTTGCCAACAACGGTGAGTGTGCGATGTCTCTTAGAACGTGCAGGTGGAGATGCTACACTGAAGCTGGATGTGGAAGCCAGGCATCCTACGGCTCCTGGGTGAGGGTTGTGCATTGTGGTGTCAGCAGGGAAAGGGTCATCCCGGCCCGTAAAGTGGAAGAGATCAAAGGGACTGAGTACAGACAGAGGTCCAAGAACTGGGCATGGGCGGGGAGAAGAGATAAAGGTGGCAGGCCATGGAGCTGGGGGAAGGCCTGGAAGACGCTTAGGAAGGGTGTCAGGAAGGAGGAGGCAACAGAGGAGAGGGCAGGGAAGGTGAGGCCTCAGAAGGGGCCTTAGGTCACTGGAGACTTTGACAACAGCATTTCTGAGGAGGGTGCGGGCGAAAGCTTAACCCCAGAGGTCTCTGGAGGGAAAAGGAGAGAGAGGATGGAAGCATAATACTAGCAGGTCTGGATTGGGGCTGTGGAGATAAGCTGGAGGAACACAGAGGACTGGGTTTTATTTGGGGGCGGAGGAATAACACCGAGTAAACTGGGAAATTTTATTGTAAATGCGTTGTTTGTTAAAAAAAAAAAAAAAAAAGAATAAGTAAGGGGGAGGGGACTATCGCAGGAAAAGTAGCTACCGAGGTGGATATAAGGCCACTCTTGGGGGTGGAGGACAAGAGCCAGGTTCCAGACTCCAAATTTAGCTAGGCACAGAGCCGGGACAAACCTGCACTCCGGGAACCTGATACTGCGGCTCGGGCGCCAGGCCCTTGCCCTGTGCTGGGTCGGCCTCAGGCAGCAGCCGGGAGTGGCGCCCAGCTGGGCATGTGTGCCCAGCTGTCCCGGCCCATTACCCACAGCTGACTGGGTCAGGCTGGGGCAGCCTGGACCGGCCCGCGGAGGGGCTGAGCGAGGGGGGCGACGGAGAGAGGGCGCAGCGGGACTGAGGAGACGCGGGCCGAGGCCGGGGTTTGAGGGGTCCAGAAGCCGGGCGCAGGGAGCCGGGCCTCACTTGGATCCCTTCGCTGCGCCGTCTGGCGCGCCCTCAACGCGCACCTACCCGGCGGGTTTCCCAGTCCGGCGCGCCCTCAGTGCCAGTCTCCGCCCGCCGGAGCTCTCAGCCGCGCCCTTCCTCCCAGTGGGCGCCGGGAGGCCCGCGCCGGCCGCAGCGCTCCCAGCGGCGTACTGTCGGGTCCCTGGCCTCTCCGGGGCCGCCAGGCTTAAGTGCGCTGAGGACGCGCATGGCGGCGGTGGGGCCGCGGACGGGCCCGGGTTCCGGGGCCGAGGCCCTGGCACTGGCGGCAGAGCTGCAGGGCGAGGCGACGTGTTCCATCTGCCTGGAGCTCTTCCGAGAGCCGGTGTCCGTCGAGTGCGGCCACAGCTTCTGCCGCTCCTGCATCGCGCGCTGTTGGGAGCGCCCGGGCGCGGGGCCCGCCGCCGTCCCCCGTTTGCTGCCTTGCCCGCTTCCCTGCCCGCAGTGCCGCGAGCCCGCACGCCCGAGCCAGCTGCGGCCCAACCGGCAGCTGGCCGCGGTGGCGGCACTGCTGCGGCGCTTCAGCCTGCCCGCCGCTGCACCGGGGGAGCGCGGGCCCCCGGAGACGGCAGCGGCCGGGTGCGCGCAGCACGGCGAGCCGCTCAAGCTCTACTGCCAGGACGACGAACGCGCCATATGTGTGGTGTGCGACCGCGCCCGCGAGCACCGCGAGCACGCCGTGGTACCGCTCGATGAGGCTGTGCAGGAGGCTAAGGTGAGCGCCGGCCCCATTCCTGCCTGTCCCCGCGACCCCGCGTCCCTGCCTGCCTTCCCGCGCACACAGTGCAGATGACCGACAGGCAGGCAGGCAGGCAGGCAGGCAGGCAGGCAGGCAGGCAGGCAGGCAGGCAGGCAGGCAGGCAGGCAGGCAAGGAGGCTCAGGTGAGCCCCTGCCTCTTTTCTCCTACTCAGCACTGGCTCTGGGGCTGAGTGTGTCTGTCCCTCTGTCACACCCACAGCACCAATACCCCCGAACCCCCTCCCCTCTAGACTGGGCGCCTGGGCGTTGTCCCGCAGGCTTGGAGGTTTTCTTTCTGTCCGTCGCCGTCCTCTAGCGGCGACTTGGGCACACCCACACATCCGCTGCCCCCACTCAACTCTTTCTCCGAGTGGGACGACCTTCCCAAGAGGTCGGGGAAGGGTGGGTGGCTCCAGGGTTGAGTAGAGCAAGGAGGGAGCCGCCTGGGCTGTGTCAAAGCTGTTGAGCCTAGGCTCCTTTCTTTCCTGCCTTCTTGCTGAGGCCTCAGCTGAGGTGTGCGCGGAGGCCTCTGACACACAGTCCCATCTTTCTTTGCTCCCCACACTGCTCCAATCCTACCATACATAGGGAATTCCGATGGTGGGGAGGAGAGCAGAGAAGGCAAGCTAGATTGGGCAGCTGGGAGTGGGAGGAGCCTGTGTTTCAGCCTGAGTTGTGAACTGGTGGTCTTGGGGAAGTGAGACCCTGAAGTTGTTCTGTCCCCTATGTGAAGTCTGCGCAGATTGTATCCATCCTGTCCAGAGCTGGCTTCAACCTGGTCTCCTCCTCAATGCGCAGGGCCTTTCCTTTTCCTGGATGGCTCCAGGAAGGCACCAGTAGGGGTTTCCAGACTCCTCTCCCCACAACATCTCCCTTCTCACCCTACAACAGGAGCTCCTGGAGTCCAGGCTGAAGGTCTTGAAGAATGATCTGGAGGACTATGAGATGTTTCGTTCCACCGAAGAAAAGGAGAGCAAGGAGCTCTTGGTGAGCTGCTCCCCAACCCCCAGCAAGAGAAGGCCACCCACCACCCCGGCATTGTTTTGGTGTGTGTTGTAGGAGTGTGTGCCTGTGGAACAGCAGGGGTGGGTTCTAGGAAGATAATAGGATGCATATTATAAAGAGTGAGTGTATCCTTTATTATAAAACCAGAGCTTTTTTTAAAAGTATATTTTTAGAGGTACAGGAAGGGAGGGAGAAAGAGAGGGAAGCATTCATGTGTGAGAGGAACATGAATCAGTTGCTCCTCCCACATCCCTAGGTGGGGACCTGGCCTACAACTGAGGGACCTGTCTTGACCGGGAATCAAGCTGGTAACCTTTTGGTTTGCAGTCAGGCTCTCAACCCTCTGAGCCACACCAGCTAGGCAAAAAAACAGAACTTTTGAAAGTGAAAGGAAGTGCTAAAATAATCCTTCTAGAATGGCTAGCTAAAACTGGAACTGTCCCAGTGAATCGGGATGTATGATCATTTTAATATTACATAACACCCCAATTAGGGCCTTGGAACATCATGTAATTGAATGCAAGTGAAAACATAAATACAGTAAATAGCCTCATGTTAGCCCAGGGCTTTTTTTTTTTTTTGCCACCAAAAGAGTTAGGAAAAAGCTTTTTTTTTTTTTTTCCACTTTTAGAGTTTTTTTAGGTTTTGAAATTAGGCTAAGGGGAAGGGGGCTTACTGGCTGTCAGAACTGCTAAGTGAGGAAGGTCTGGCGACGGGTTTCCAGCAGCACCCGCGCTGCGCAGCCCAGTGTGCCCAGCGCCCCCTGGTGGGCAGGAATGCTATTTTTGTCTTTTTTACAACGAATCACAGAAGTGAAATGGGGCTCATTTTGATTAAGACAGGCAGCGTGGATTACGGATGTAATTTTCTACCTCGCAAATTCAGTTCTTAGCTCAATAAATAGGTGTTAAAAAAATGAAAGGATCTACTGGGATCTGTTAGGATGGGGCCAGTCAGTTCTGGAGTTGGGAAGTGCAAGAACTTGAGGACCCTCCTGTCCTCAAGGTTGGGGGAGGGTGGTGTGGAGGGGGAAACGCTGAGTTCAGCCGTTCCCGTCCTGACCCTCAACTGCACCTGGTGCACCTGCCTCCAATGTGCATCATTCACTTCCCTCCCCACGGAAGAGCTCAACCCTTATCTCCAGACTTCCACCCTGCTCTCCCCGAGAAAGGAGCATGTGGCATGTGGCTCTCCCATCCATGACCCAGAGGGCCTACCGCAGTGTGGGCAGCTTCGTGGCCCTGATCCCATCCACCGTCACACTGCTTAGCCTTCCACTCTGTCCTCTGCCAATCCACCACCCCTCTGGTCCGCACATGCTTTAGAATCACAAAATTCATGCTTAATGAAACAATAGAGGTAGAGAACAACTCTTGCTGCATGATAACGAAGAGAATGAATACTTTTATTTAAAAATGCTCTTACTCTTTAGGAGTGCTTCTCAACTAGGGGCAATTTTAGCCCTTGGGACATTTGGCAACATCTGAAAATATTTCTCATTGTCAATTAACACTTGGGCAGAGATGCTGTTGGCATTTCGTGGTAGAGGCCAGGGTGCTGATTAAGCATCCTGGAATGCACAGGACAGCCCTCCACCACAAAGAATTATCTGGTCCCAAATATCAATAGTACAGAGGTTGGGAAACCCTGACTTAGGGTATTTTGGCTAATATTGTTCCATCTGTGTTATTTCCTGGGGAAACCATATGAAGTAATTGCAAGAAATTCAGATTCTGAGGCCAGACTCTCTGGGTTAGAATCCTGGCTGCCCACTTACTGGTGACATGCACCCGCGTCATTGGGCTGAGTGAGTTAACACATGTGAAGCACCCCGGGCTGCAGCTGCCTGCTCGCCCAGTGTCCTGATGATGAAGGTCCTGCGGGAGCCAAAGCCTGAACCTATGTTTCCTGACTTCACAATCCACTCACATCTCCCAGCCATCCTTTCCTCCCTCAGAATTTTAAAGAAGAGGAACAGTGACAGATGCGCTTGTCCTGGAGGAACAGAGCCCTTCTCACGTCTTGTTAGCCACACGAGGCCTTGCTTGTTATGTCTTGTGCAGTCCCTCCCGCATACCCATGTAAAGAATCCAGAGGACCAGGATCACCAGCCTGTGTCTGGAAACACAGAAGTGAAAATCCTGTGGATAATAGTAATGGAAATAATAGAATATGAAGGCTGCATACAACATAGCCTCATTGGGTCATGTGGGTGTGCTGCTACCTCTGGTCGCTGGTGTTGATTTTCCTTCCTTCTTCCTATTTTTCTGCAACTTCCAGATTTTGTATTATGAGCATGTATGACCTTCATAATTGCTAAACAGAAATGGTGCTCTTAATATGAAGTAAAGTGAGGAGTGAAAGTTGGAGGGCAGATGAGTATTAAAAAACAAAATTCAACTGAGTATGTTTTAAAGATCTTATTGGCTTTATTCAGTAATTGATAAATTACTAATGCAGCAGATAGAAAGGATCCCCAAAGAGTTATATAAGGCAACAGATTTTATAAGTGGAGGTAGCAGGAACAAGGAAGTTGCAAAAAAACCTGGATTGGTTATTGCAAGGTTACTTTCCCTATAGGGGATGGCAGGTTAGTGAACAAAGGCAATTCCTGATTGGCTAGTTTAAGATTCCATTTCTGGGAGAGCTGAACCTATAATGTGGATCTTGGCATAAATGACTCCGTTTTGGCATTGTTTTCTTGTATTTAACACATAATAAATGTGTTTGGGGAGGAGAGAGTGACCTCAGTTTAATCTGTATAGTGGCCCCAGGAGGCACAAATTCATTCCTCCCACTTTTCAAATGAAACCATTGCCTTGAATAGTTCTCAGGCGAGCTTACAGTTGCCCCATGCTGGTGGGAGAGCCCAGGGACAAATGGACATGTGGGAACATCTGTGACAGGGGAAGCAAGAAGATGTGTTGAAGCTGCTGTGAGCTCAGAGTCGGGTTATTAAAATTAGAGCCAGTGCAGGGTGTGCACCTGTGGATGACCCTACAACCCCTGAGCAGCTGCCGCAGATGGAACCCTGTCCTGTGGGATGGCTCGAGGCTCCTCTCCCAATGCCAAGTCTTGATGCCCATGTCCCCTCACCTCTCCACCTTCTCCTCTCCTGAGACAGAAGCAGATGGCAGCTGAGCGAGAGAAGGTGGGGGCAGAGTTTCAGGCACTGCGGGCCTTCCTGGTGGAGCAGGAGGGCCGGCTTATGGGCCGCCTGGAGGAGCTGTCCCGGGAGGTGACACAGAAGCAGAACGAGAACCTGGCCCAGCTTGGGGGCGAGATCACCCAGCTATCCAAGCTCAGCAGCCAGATCGAGGAGACAGCTCGCAAGCCTGACCTTGACTTTCTCCAGGTGAGTCTGCCTACCCAGGACTTTGAGCCTTTATTCTAACACATTGTAAAGACAGTGAGAACAGAGTCAGATCCTGAGAATTTAGTATACTCACAAAATCTGGAGCCAAAAAGGATGGGAGAGAGGTACCCTGATTCTCCTGGGGTTAGAGGTCTAGAGGGATAAGATAAAACTTTCCTGACCACGAAAAACAATAATATATCTTACATCGTATTTCAGTGTATACACACTTGAGACAAAAGTCTCAGAAAATAACACCTTTACTAATGTGATGCATTTTCTATTCTATTTTATTTCATTTTAAAAAATAGTTACAATCTACTGTCACAAATGGGTCAAGGACAGTCATTTAAAGACATCGGTCTGAATGAGCAGTGGCTGCATAAAAGCTATAGCTTGCCTTGGTGGTGCGGAGAGCCCCAGCATGTGGCTCCACGGATGATTCTGTAATGGCAGGAGCATTTGCAGACTGTGGGCAGGGTCCGCTACATTGATAAGACGCCCAGCTGGCAGCCACGGTGGGAAGACCTTGACACCGGGGGCCCATGCAGACAGCGGGACGTGGGATATCTGCTTATTGCTTGTTCCTCGGAAGCAGGGCAGAGCACAGTTGTAGTTTTTCAAAGGTGTTGATTTGGTTTGCCTTCATCTTTCTTTTTAGGAATTCAAAAATGCGCTAAGCAGGTGAGTGGACCCTAATGGCTCCGAGGGCCCCCTCTAAGCTGGTTCTGCGTTTCCATTGCTGCTCTCTTCATTCCCCGCCCCAGCTTCTCACCGCCTGACTCCCCGCTGCCTTACCTGAGCCGGCTGTCAGGCCGTCTGCCTGGTTGTGGCTATGAGATGAGATCAGGCTCTCCTTTTCCCGCCTCTCCCCATCAAGAGGACCCCGCCGTCCTAACTGTGGGAGTGGGAGAGTGTTGGTGGGCCTTCCTCCTTGTCCTGCAGGTGCAGCAATGTGCCTGCCCCCAAGCCAAGCACAGTCTCTTCTGAGATGAAGAGTAAAGTCTGGAATGTTTCCCTCAAGACCTTTGTCTTAAAGGGGCTGCTCAAGAAGTTCAAAGGTAGGGCCCGTGCGTGGGGGGCTGGGCCATGAGATGCCAGTGGCAGTGGTTGGTTCTGGTGATTTGGGGTCCAAAGATGTGCCTTTCCAGAAGCTCTGAGAAGACCAGAGCTGGGGTGTGTATTGGCTAATTTATTCAGGTGCCCCCAGGGCACGAAGTTCCCCTGGGGGCAGACAGGATAGAGGGCCACTTGGGACAGAAAGAGGGATGAGGAAGGAGATATCGGCTCTGACCAGTGCCAGGCAAAAGAGGGCGAAGCTGGACAGGGAAAACCGGAAACTGCCCCTCCCCGCCCTTACGCTGGGCCCGGTGCCCCTGGCCTATCTGGGGGGTAAGTGAGCCACTGGGGCCGTGAATGTCAGAGGAGGCGGTGTCACTGCCATGGCCAGACAGACAGTCTCCTGTGTCATTCATGCGCACCCTGCTTTGTTTCTCCTCCTCAGAGGATCTTCGTGAAGAGCTGGAGAAAGAGGAGAAAGGTACGATGGTTGTGGTGATAGTGAGAGCCTGTTGCTTGGCCATGTAGAGAATTCCCTCCCTGCTGGTGACTGTGTCTCTGGGCTTTGTGTGTGGCTGCTTCCTTCTGCCTGCCCACCTCAGCCACCCTGCCCTTGACTCCCCGTCCCCCTTGTCCTCACCTCACAGTGCTGACTGCCTCAGGCCACAGTGGGGCCTTTAGACTTACAGGAGTGCCCTGCGCCTCAGGAAGCTTCGACTGGGGAAGGCCTGTCGGCCTCTCTCCCCTGTCCTCATTCCCAGCTGGGACCTCGTACTGAGACCTCGTCTGTGGACTGGTGCTGAGCGCACAGGGACTGGTGAGGGAAGCAGGAGGATCTGAGGACAAAAGGGGAGGTGGTTCTTACTCCTGCAGAGCTCTGGGGTGAGTGGGACCCAATCCCACAGGGAGGGCTAAGTCAGACTTTTCTTGGGAAGAATCTAAGCCAGCTGGGTAAGACCATGCCCTCCTCTGCCGCGACCCTACACTGGGCCCTCTCACTCAGTGAAGGCTGCAGTTCCCACAGTGGCCTTCCAGGCCCCAGGGCTTCTGGCCTCACTGTGAAGCCCCAACCCACCCCCACAAGCCCAAGTGCTTTGCTGCTTTTGGAATGCACCTAGCACACACTCACCTGGGCCTCAAACGTGCTTCGCCGGACAGCACCTACCTATTCAGTGAGGCCTTTCCTGGGCCTTCTAGTTGAAATCACAGCTTGCTATCCTGATCCCTCATATCTACTATGTTTTTGGTTTTTGTGTTTTTTGGTTTTTTTTTTCAAATCACATCTTGTCTATCCTCCCCTCCTCTGTGAAAGGCAGCTGCAGGGGAGCTGGGATTCCCAGGGCCTAGTGCAGGCCTGGAACACTGCAGTGCTTACAAGTGTGCTTATTTGAGCTGTTTATTAATGGAAAACTTCAAACATACACTAAAGTAGAGAGATGAGCATAGCAAATATTCCGTACTCATCAAACACCCTCAGTGATCTTCACTAGCACCCCTAACCATTTCTTCCCACTGGGTTATTCTGAAGCAAATCACCGATAATATCATTTCCATAAATATGTCAATATTTGATCTCTAAAGAGATAGACTTTATAAAAAATGCCCACATCACCCTGGCTGGTGTGGCACAGGCGATTGAGCTCTGGAATGCAAATCAAAAGGTCACTGGTTGGATTCCAAGTCGGGGCACATGCCTGGGTTAAGGACCAGGTCCCCGGTTGGTGGCACACAAGATGCAACCGGTCAATGTGTCCCTCACACATCGATGTTTCTCTCGCTCTTCTCTCTCTCCCTTCCCATCTCTCTAAATAAAGGTTTTTTGTTTTGTTTTGTTTTTTTTTAAGCAATGACAAAACCACCATCATAATGAAAAAAAGCTGATGACTCTTTTTAGAAAAAATTGCATTCTTTCTAGTGCCTAAGTGTTCGGCATCTCTCAATTGTCTTTTCAATTGGATTTGTCCATGTGTTTGAATTGGCATTTAAATCAGATCCATAGGTTGCATTTGTTTGAGTGCAGCATGTACTTTTTGGGGGCGGGGGCAGGAATAAGGAGTGAGGGCTGTGCAGGGGGCCTGCATGGGCATCTCTCCCTATCTCCCCCACTGTAGTGGAGTTGACCTTGGACCCTGACACTGCCAATCCCCGCCTCATCCTCTCTCTGGATCTTAAGAGTGTGCGCCTTGGACAGCGGGCCCAGGACCTGCCCAGCCACCCACGTCGTTTCGATACCAACACCCGAGTCCTGGCGTCCTGCGGCTTCTCCTCCGGGCGGCACCACTGGGAAGTGGAAGTGGGCTCCCAGGACGGCTGGGCCTTCGGCGTGGCCCGCGAGAGTGTGCGCCGCAAGGGCCTCACGCCCTTCACTCCCGAGGAGGGCGTCTGGGCGCTGCAGCTCAATGGTGGGCAGTACTGGGCTGTGACCAGCCCTGAGCGGACACCCCTCAGCTGCGGCCACCTGTCCCGCGTGAGGGTGGCGCTGGACCTAGAGGTGGGGGCCGTGTCCTTCTACGCCGTGGAGGACATGCGCCACCTCTACACCTTCCGCGTCAACTTCCAAGAGCGCGTGTTCCCCCTTTTCTCTGTCTGCTCCACTGGCACCTACTTGCGGATCTGGCCTTGAGGGACATTGCCGGCCTCCCAGAAAAGGGGTGGTCAGTGGAGGGTGAACGCCTTCTCCTGGCTGCCCTTGGGAAGGGACATTGTTCTCCGTGGGAGCCGCCCGGTCACCTTGGGTCTGCCCTTCATTCTCCTGCCGCAGGCTGCCGCCTTAGGGAGGCTTCTGGAGACCCAGCACCAGAGGCATGAGACTGCGCAAGGTGGCAAAGGGGCTGTGTTCAACCGAGCACAGGACCGGATGCTTTGGACCCCAGGCCTGTTCCCTACCTGTTGCTTCTGGCACGCAGATTTGGCACCAGCTGTGAGGAGGTGGAGGCCTATGAGGACTCGAGCCCCGATGTTGACAGGGGTGCCTTTTCGTGATGGCTTACTGCCCAGACTCAGCAGGGCTTCTTGCTCCCTGAACAGCACCAAACTCTGGTCCTGTGCTGTCCTCACTTCCAAGGGGAATGTTTGGGGCCAGGCCAAGCAGGTTCATGATCACTTCTGTTTCGCCTTCCTGTCAGCTGCCAGCTCTGCCTTCAGAGACCTGAATCCAGCTGGCCTGACCAAATTGTCCACTCAGGGAGAGGCCTCCCAGCTCTGAGGACAGTCTGGGCCAGGGCTGGAGGGAGACCCTTGACCTGTGCATGAGGGAAAAGCCCCAGACAACAGTCTGTAGGCATGGCTACCCTCTAACACCCCTAAACCGATGATACAGAGTGATATGTATGTCCTCAGCCACAGTTACAGCCACGTGTTCTCACAGATACCTAAATCTCTGTCAAGTGCCAAAATACAGTCTTTCTGGGTAAGGAGACCAAAGGTTCTGGAATTTTGAAACACAAGAGAGCACTTACAATTTTACAGATGTAACTAACACAAGCATGGAAATGCAGAGCACAAACATGTCCCTGACAGATTCATTCTGGAACTTGCCAAATGTATGCTAACAGCAGAGGACTCTGGTGCCCAGGCAGGCCAGTTTAGCCTGTGCCCTGATGGATGTTATCACTTTGGCTAATTGTTCACCAGCCTCTTTCAGGCTGGGCTTCTGGGAGGGTGGTGGTACACACTTCCTTGCTTATTGCTCCTCAGGGAAGGGATATGGCGCTGGAAATACAGACTTTGAGCTCATTTATACAGTGGCTAGATCCTTCTTGACTTTCCCAGTCTGAGTGCAAGAGCAGGGAGTTCTGCCAGATGGGGTGAGCATATGTGCTTCTGTGTGTGAGAAATGTGCACGCATGTGTTTATGTCAGACTGTGGGGGCAGAGGGGTGTGTGGATCTTGGAGAGGACATGTACAGGCACATGCATAGGGTTTAGGTGTTGAAACAGACCTAGTGCAATTAGGTCATACCCTATTATTGACTTGTGGTTAAGTATTAGCCACCCCGTAGTTAGTGATGGCCATACATTTCCAACCCCACTAATGGGTTGTTTGGCTAGATGAAAGCCAGTTTCAGACCTAATTCTGTCCTGCCCAGGTTGTTATGCAGATGCAGGGACAGTGACAGTCAAGTAGTCTGGCCTGCAAGTGTCATGAAGCTTCAGTACTCTGTCCCCTGAGGTGCTTCAAGCACACTTTGCATACAGGGTTCTTGTAAGGCAGGCATGACACTGTTCTGGAGGCGGATTGAGTGCACACAGCACCAGGCCATCAGAATCCAGTGTCCTACAGACTGGGGACAGGACAATTTAACAGTTTAGCCTACAGCAGCATTTCAGAAGGTGAATTCTGTGCCCTGTTCATACACGACATGTAGCTCTAGAACATTGTAGCCAATCAAAGTATTTGAATACACTGATTTCCACAAGGAAAACTCATTTTTAACATTTATTTGCTATTAAATGGCCTGTTATCATCACGCCTTATTGTTTTCTGGGTTTGTATGACCTTTGAACTGATTATCACAATTACTTTTTATGTCATCTAGCAACTGTGCTCAAGTATTGTAACACATGTTATGGGTCACCGAAGGTAGGGTGACTGGCGGAAGCCTTGTAAGGCCAGGTCGGGAGACTGCAGGCCTGGCTGTCTGTGTGGGTATTTTCAGCTTTTGTGTTTGTGGGTGTTTCAGAGTTTGTAGAAGAACTACCAGTACATAGGTAGCTGTATATCCGAAAAGACGTAACAACAGTTACCTAATAGCTGCATGTGGAGGGTGTGAGAGATGTTCTCTCTTGGTCGCCAGGGCAGTGTGGTGACTTTGGATGTCACAATGCTGATGTGAGAGTATGTGTGCCTGTCTGCATTTTTCTCTACCATCCTTTGGGTGTCATAAGGTCTCCAAGATCTCTGGGCCTCTGAGAGCAAATACTGGCCTAACTTCAGCCCTTCTGATGCCCCCCATTAGTCCCAGATACTTGTGAGCTGCAAGGCTGTGAGAACCCAGGTTCGTGCCATCAGACTCTCCCACAGCTAGCTCCTCAGTGTCCAGGCTGGGTGTCACCTAGGAGCCTGCTTTTGGCCGGCCATCCAGTGACCTAAGTCATCTGGTCTTGCAGGGACATAGGACAGGTGGGGCAACCAGGCCAACACCCACCACCTACAGCTGCCACTTTCTGACCATTGGCGGGGCTGGGGCCCTTATCCCTCATCGGGGCTCTCTCACCCACTCTCCCTGCCCTCAACCCCGTGGGCCCTTTGGGGAGCCCTGACAGAACAAGTTCCCCAACAGTCCAAGGCAGGCCCTAACGGTTGCCTTTTCCTAATTTGCTTAACTGAGCGGTAGGGGCTAAGGACCCTGGGCCCAGACCCAGTGCCTGGCCCAGCACTTCCTCTCACCCACGCACTATGATTTCTCCACCCCTCTCTTAGCCTCTCCCTCCTGATGCCCCCTACTGCTTCCTCACGGCCCAGCCTACCTTACCAGGCCCCTGGCCCTGCCTTCCCCTTAGGACAGGCACATTGACGTACTTCCCCTAATTCCTCCCTCTCAGCCTTGACCTAGGACTCCATTCTTCGCACACAATAAGCCGCAGATGCCTGCTCTCATCGGGTTCCCGCCTGCGATCCCGCAGCAGCGCCGAAGACGCCGGACCTCCGCACAGCTCCGCCCACCGGATGCCCCGCCTTCACGGGCTCAGCAGGCGAACAAAACGGGCGCCCAGTCCCGGTGGCGCTCTCTCGCTAGATTTGAGGGCCCGTTCGCAGCACAAAGACGTACTTACGCCGCAGGCTAAGCCACGGCGGCCCAGCGCGGCGCTCCAGAGCGGAGGAACGCTGGCCCTACACCCCGTCGCCTAATGCCTCAGCGAAACTGTCACTGCATGGAAACTGTTTTTGCATCAACTGCTCGAGCGCAGGAAACAAGTCGGCAGTTGGCTCCATAGCTCAGGGGTTAGAGCACTGGTCTTGTAAACCAGGGGTCGCGAGTTCAAATCTCGCTGGGGCCTGTGCTGTACTTTTTTTTTCCTTTTTTTTTTTTCTCTCCCAAACTATAAGGTGGTAAAGCGCAAAATGTGTAAGCCAATACGAATTCCGCCTTTCGAAGAGGCCAGACCCCGGTGAAGCTTCTGTTCCTTTGCCCGGCAAGTGTCTGCCGCCCATCGCTTATCTTTCGAAGAGCTGTACCCACTGCGTCCTTGACTTTGTGATCACAAGCTCCGCCGGCCCCGCGCCCTTTCTACCCCGTGGTCCCTCTCTCGATTCTTTCCGCGCGCGCTCCCGGCGACCTCATGGCGGGTCTTTCCGTTCTCCTCCTGTGGGCGGGGGTAGGGTTTCGTCCTCGTCTCTCATTCTTTCTTCTTAGCTGCGTGGTGTCGACCTGGCAAGACCCCCTCCCACCCTCTGGGAACCTACTGCTTTAGCTGGGAGGGTGACTAAACGTTCCCTTGGGCCTCGCAGTCTGGCTTCTATATATGAGGTGGCCTTCCGGCAGGGCAGGCACGTAGGGGTCGACGAATCCCGGGAGCCTAGGGTGCCCAAGTCGGGGAAGGGAAACGGGTCCCCAACTCCTCCCTGCATCCCTTCTGTTCCATTTACTCCCTTCTCCGGAGTCCACTCGGGCTTCGGTGAGGGATTCTCTCCTCCGGTGCACCGGACACGGGTTCTGTTTTCTAACCGTGAGCCGCTCTAGAGCGCCGCCGGGAGTTAGCGGTGTCCCCACGTGGGGCTGAGAGTCGGTCAGTGCCTTTCAGAGATGGTCCACTTTGGCTGGAAAGAGAGCTCCTGCGGTTTGGGGGCGTGCCCGCGAAGGCCGCAGCGGGTGGGTGCCCGAGACCTGCCCACCCGACAGCTACCCCCTCTATTGTTCACTGGGGATTTAGGCTCATTTTGTACACTTTACTTCGTTAACAGCATAAATAAATAAATAAATAAATAGAAGATCAGCTTGTATCGTGTGTGTGTGTGTATGTGTGTGTGTGTTGCTTGCCTGTTTGTTAGTTTAAGAGAAGAACATGAATGGTTTTTAAAAAAAAAAAAGACTGAAAGAGAATGCGACGCATGTATAGCCTTTACGTCCGGAAGTCACGGATGTGGATGATTGCACTTTTCTTTAAATAATTGCCTAGAGGAGAGAAGCAATAACAAGCCTACAACACAGAGGCGGTAGTGACCGGTAGGTCGCAAGGTCGCGGAGAGCCATGAGCGCCCACTCTCCTTTTAGCGAGCACAGAAGAGGCGCCGACCACGCCGCGGGGGAGGGGCGCGCTAGCCTCGCGGTCCCTAAGCAAGAGGCGGAAAGCGGGAGCCGCGAGGGAGCGGTCGGCGCAGAGGGCGAGCGGGACGGCGGAGAGTGTCGACGGAAGATATGAGCACCTTTTCCCTCGGAGTAGGTCAACCACCCCGTGTCTCCTGCATTGTTTTGTAACAGCCACCTGGTGGCACAAAAACCTTTGGACTAGCTTTGAGTGCGTTTTGTGAATTTTACAGCAGGGAATCAGAATCACTGTTTTACTCCTAAACGGTGAAATTAAAACCCTGTTTGGGTGTTTGGAGAGCAGGTCCGAGACGAGGGAAGGAAGAGAACGCCCGCCCGGTCTCTGGTTCTTCAGGTTAGGATGGCGGCTCCAGGGCAGTCCCGGGATCGCGGAGGGCGGGAGCACCCGCCTGGGCGCCGCGGTGCGCGCGCGCACTGGCGCCAGCTGCTGGGGTCGGGGTTCCCGGTCATATCATTTCTGCCTTAACACTTGCTTACATTGCCCGAACACTTTGTAAAAAGGTATGTGTTGCTTTTTAAAATATTTTCATAAAATGAGAAAGAAAAGTCCCCTCCCCTTTACCAAGCCCCCACGTGAAGAGATTACCCCGGATTTCATTTCGCCTGTCACGACTGAGGACCCAGTCCATCCCGCGTCCTCTCCGAGACCGGCGCACGGTTCTCTCCAGGAGCTCTCAGGCTCTCCCGGCCTCTGTGTTTGGTCCCTGGGCCGCCAGTCTTGCCCCTTATTGGGGCTCCCTTGCGACGGAACTTCCAGTCCCCCCAAAGCGAAAGGATGCTCCTTCCTGCTGCCTGGGTAGCCCTAGCAATCAGGTGCTCTTTTGGATCCCAGGACATCTCAGAAGGGCCAGGAGGAACGGAGCGTCTGCACCGCGCGAGCTACCTGAGGCTGAGAGTGAACGGCGGACGCGAAGATGGCTAAGAGAAAAAGAACAAAAGCGGAGACGCCAAAATGGAGAGTGGTTCTAATGTACTAAAAATAAAAATTCTTTTTCCTGGTGATGAGATGACTTCCACAAAGGATTAGATTAAGGACTGAATGGAAGCCTTGTGTGTTAGGCGGCTCGTTGGTCTAGGGGTATGATTCTCGCTTTGGGTGCGAGAGGTCCCGGGTTCAAATCCCGGACGAGCCCACTCTTTTTCCTTCACGAAACAAAATTTCATTTTATGTGAACAATTGTGGTTGACTGTATAATCATCGGTCCTTCCGCCGTTACAGAATTGAGGAACCACCGTGATCGGGGTAAGCTTTCCTAATAATCAATTGTGAAACAGCTCAACTTACTGTACAGGTTTCCGTAGTGTAGTGGTTATCACGTTCGCCTAACACGCGAAAGGTCCCCGGTTCGAAACCGGGCGGAAACAAGTTCTACTTTCGTGTGTTACTATTTAAAATTTATTACTTCGGAGTAAATTCGAAAGTCTGAAACAAACTTCGTCTCAGTTCAGGACATCATGTTATCATATCCTCCTGTTTACAGAAATGTGCTGTCTCCCAAGCAGAAGAACAGCATCACATCGCTGATTTCCTGTCTCAGCCACAGGCACCTGTGCAGATATTAATTAAGTCACCCCATTTTTGGTCCGGAACACTTGCGAGCACGGAGAGACTGCAGAGAGTCCGGCTACTCTGCAGCTGCACGTCCTAAA